CGCTCGAAGACAACTGCGATATGAACGATGTTACTGACATCCTACGTATAACCAGCACACATATATGATACATATTTTATGATATACTACGTCAATACGATATGGAATGTAAATACGATTAAATAAATAAAGGCACTATAAAAATACTGTGAGGAAAATACTATAGAAAAATACTATGAAAAGAAAAGCAAGAAATATACACGAGTAAAACCACACTATAACCTACGGTCTGGGGTACGACCCGATCTCAATCTCATCCAGGTCCCATCCAAGCCTTCCCACCTCCTTTTTGGCTACGCTGCATCCCGGTCCTTGATAGCAGTGGACCATCTTCCAGTTGTTTCCATTCGGCTTCGATCCATGCAGCTTGTCACCACTTAGAGATGGCATACGAGTGGTGTTGAGAGCCCATCGGGGGCTACGTCGGTATTGCTGACGTTGAAGGCACAAGAGTAGTCGAAAAGCAGCCGGCTATGGCGTTGACACGATGGCGAAAGAATGATGCAAACGCCTATAGCGGCTAGAGTCCGCCGCCACGTGGCAAACTCTAGCTCTCTGCAGCGCACGGTGCCTTCCCGACGGGACTACGCGCGCGCCACGGCGAGGCCGTCCTTTAAGTCGTCCGAACGGCACGACAGCGTGGACACTTCCCACAGCGGGATTGCTAAACGCCAAAAAATCCTACCGAACAACCAAGGATCGCCAGTCATGAGCAAAACATCAGTCTCGGGCACCGCACTGATCTTCTACTTGTGTTTTTCAAGTACCGAGCTCTTTATTCCTTATACTATCGAGACCCCGTTTGTTCTCACCTTCTAAATGGCCAACCAGATACTGAACCAGCACTTCACTTTAGAACCAAGCCAGCCATCTGCATTTCTTATTCGCCATTCTGTAGCGTAAACGTCTTCAATATAATTAATCCCCCTTGTGTATTCCGATGGACAGACATACGCTCCAGAGCTTCTGCAACTCAGATGGTTGTCGAATGAATGGTCTGTTGCTTCGACAAGATCGATAATGGGAGTGAACGATAAAAGCTGCTTTCGGGGAATGAATCCCGGGATGAATCTGTGGTCTTCTTGTATAGCATATGTGGCACTGTCAGGTCAGAAAACGGCCTACTAGCTAGGGCGTTATAAAGGCTCAGAGATTGTCCCATGAGTATGCGCGGACGAGTTCCAACGGGCAGAGTGCAACATTCCCAAGGGAATCCATTTAGGAAGTTCAACAACTTTTCAGGGCCCATGGCGGCAAAGATTACTCTGAACAATTTTGGCTCGATGTAGTCAGCTATTTGGGCAATTCCAAATAATGAGATCTCGTCCGAATACCCCTTCCATGTCATTTCCGTCATGATGATCTCGTACAACCTCTACTACCACACAGAAACGAAAATTCAGTATGGCACTCGGCTCTCACAGTAATCCGGCACGTGTTAATACGCAAATTTTCACCAGTCTAATATACGACGCGTGGAAAAGAGACCTTGGGGGCAAGGACAGGGTTTGGTGTGTGGCAGGCCAGGAGGCCACTGTAACACCCGAGTGCCCGTACGGGGTTTTCGTTTCTGTCTGTTAACAGATATTACCACCTCTTTTGAGGCGACTTACTTTTCGTAAAATCGCGATTTTTCTCGCTTCCTACACCACTGATGTACTATTCCCAGCCAATACTTTCGCACTTCGACTTCAGAAGGGTACCTCAAAATCGTCTTGAACCGTGCCTTTAACATTCCACGTTCATATCATTTCTTGTTCGCTTTTATCGTGTTTTCTGAGTCAGGCACACCTTGAAATGGCCGGCTGTCCTTCATCGGCCCCCTTCAAGGCTGAGCAAACCGCGAGTGTGCACTTGGAGCGCTCACGAACCGCACACGAAGTTTTTTGTAGGATTTGCCGTTTTTTTTTTCGTTGCGGGACGAGAAGCACACACACAGTGCAAGCAGGGAGCGAATGCACTCTCGTCAGGGGATGAAATCATGGTGTGCTTTCAGCTCGCTCGCACGAATGTCCTTTCTGCAAACGAGCGCGAGCAGAGCAGAGCAGAGCAAAAGGGCAAGTTCAACAGTTCAACAAGTGCACTAAGAGGACAGCACAATTTTTTTTCAGCCCTCAGTCCGCCGCTTTTTCTGCTCGAACTGACTGATTAGCGTTCGTGTCCCCCTCGTTTTTATACGGCATGCACTTGCACTCTACGTTCTGTGAAACGTGCACTTCCCTATGCATCAGCATGGGGTGGCTAGCTAGAAAAAATTACCATAAAAACTACGGTGCTCTTCGTCGAAAAATGTCAATTTTGGTTTAGCGTAAGTGCAATAGTAGTGCCCTTACTAAGCTCTGAACGTACACCACCGTTTTTTTTCTCGCTACGAATTCTACACCTACCGTAGTCGGGATTTTTTGGTAAATCAAATTTTTTCAAAAAACGCCGGCAAAAAATGATCGGAAACACGTACTTTAAAGGGCTATCGTATCCTGGTAGTGATGAAATCTGCACATTGATTTGACAGCATCCACAGAACACAGGCCCGCTCGATCTGATATCGCTCGGCCGGTGAATCGCAAATCTAACTGCAGCTAGAGTGATTGCTCTTACCAGAGGTCCAACTGGTTTAACAACGGTAGTGCTGACATCACCGGTAATGGCCGCGCGCGGTCGCGTCACGGCGACACGATTGAATGCCCAGGCAAACCCCTATATGTTTACTAAAAGAAAGGCAATCAGCTGTAGCTTCTTCAGCGATATCAGTCTCCACAACCATTCACTAGCGACTTTGATGTAGCTAATGCTGTATGGCGCACCCATGGTTGGCAAAATGCCAGAAGTAGGTATTGGAGCTTCAGCTGCAATAGAAATGGGTGTTTGAACTTTTTTCTCAAGAAAAAATACAAGTTTGAGGGAGTTGTTGGACGTTGGGATCTGGAATGCGCCGTGCATGCGCTTCCACAACGGAATTGTTCAGTTGGTCG